TACTCCCACCGCCCAGATACACCCGTGACGGCCGCTGTTGGCCGACCCTCGGGCTAAGGCATCAGGGCGAGCGTGCCCGCTGAGGGGACGCCGGCCCGCAGCGCTCCCCGAGCCCGGGGAGTCTGGGCACCGCCTTTAAGGTTTTGGCAACATCCACATAGTATTCCTTTTGCTCTGTAAATCAATCTGCTTTTACAGTTGAGTGCTACTTTAGCTTGGCCTGAAGCCACAATGCCTACACAGTCACAGGTCTGTGGCGGCTGTGTTTCCTAGGGGCCAGCGTGAGGTGGGGGGAGACCCCGCCACCCTCCCCTCCCCAGCAAGAGCGGGCTGCTGTCTTCTGCTTGTGTTCTGAGCTTCCATGTAAAATGTATTTGAATACAGGGTTCCACAGCCAAGAAAGGGTTCCTAAACCGCTTAATTGGGTCTTTTTCTCGGTGGCCCACCTGACAGCAGAATTCCGCGGGGGTTTGGGGAAGGCGGGCCGCAGACCCTCCTGGGCTTGGAGCCTCACGGCTGCCCTGGCCTGGCTCTGGCTGCCGGAGGAGCGGCAGCTCCCCCCTCCCCGCCCCTCCCCTGCCACCTGCCCTCGCTCTGGCCACAGCCCCGGCAGAGGAGCGCCCGTACCTGAAACACGGTGAGCAGGGACTGTGGAAAGTTGTCGAACGTGCTCCTGCGGGTCTGCATCTCGTCGAAGTTGAACTTCCCTCCGAAGAGCTGCATCCCCAGGAGGGAGAAGATGATGATGAAGAGGAAGAGCAGCAGCAGCAGGGAGGCAATGGAGCGCACCGAGTTCAGCAGGGACGCCACCAGGTTGCTCAGGGAGTTCCAGTACCTGGGGGCCAGTGGGCGGTCAGCGCGCTCACCTCCCCCTCCCAGACGCAGCCGCCGCCCCCTCCCGCTGCCCCCTGCCCCAGGACAGTGCGGTGGTGCGAGCTGGGCTGGCAAGCTCCCAACGCGAGTGTGAGTTAACCTGGGGTCCCAGGACCAGGAATGAGGAGAGAGGGGCCCGGGCTCAGGAGCCCGAGTTCCGACCCCGCCTGCACCTGCCTTTGGGCGAGTCGCTAAACCTCCCTTCCTTCTGAACAGCCCCCATCCGAAAAAACAGAGACAGCAGTGGCACAGGCTTTGCGACGTTACTGGGAGCATTCCACGGGATAATGGTCTTTAAAGAGCCCCCTGAGCGACGAAATGAAAAAGCAAGTGGCACCGCGTCAGCCTAAGAAAGGAAACCGTCAGCACAGTGAAAAGACAGCCTACAAGGTGTGCAAACCACGCAGCTGCTAGGGGCTAATGTCCTGTAAGCCAACAGCAAAACAAACGGAAGGCGGCCAAGTAACCCGTTAAAACAGGCCCAAGACCCGAACGGATTCTCCTGCAAACGAAACATACCAATGGCAGCGGGTACGTGGAAAGTGCTCAACGTCCTTGCTCAGCAGGGACCGCAAGTCAAAACCACGGCGAGCCTTCCCCTCACACCCGTCCCGACGGCCATCCCAGGAACGGCAAACGGTAGCAGGTGTGGGCGAGGACGTGGGGAGGAGCGAGCCCGCGCACGGCTGCTGGGGGCGCAACGGGGGCAGCCGCCGAGGAGACCGGGATGGAGGTTCCCCGGAAACCGCACATCCAGCCGCCACGGGACCCAGCAACTCCACTTCGGAGAAGACGCCCAGAGGACGTGCCCGCCGTGGCTTTATTCATAACCGCCGAGACGTGGAGGCAACCTGACCGTCCGTGGACGGATGAGTGGATAAAGAAAACGTGGCGCACACATCTGCGATGGGACGGCATCTGGCCGTAGTCACGAACTTTAACACACTGAGAAAAACGAAATCCACTGACACTGAAAAAGGGGGGGTGTGCTTCATGGAGGGTGCCAGACGGGCAACAGGAGTGAGTGAACCAGGGAGCGAATGAATGAGTGCTGGACCTAGGCAAGCGCCACGTTGCAGCAGTAAGTAATTCAGGTCCAGACCACCCCAGGTGAAAGGTGCTGGGGAGCAGGTGCCCACAGAACCCCGGTACCTCTGCACGGACTCCTCAGTTATCACAGAGGGAAGGGAGCCCTGACCGTGGGGGACTCTGGCAGACGCCCCTTGGCCACGTTCCTACACTTGGGGTCACTAATAACAGGACACACGATGCCGCGAACTTCCTGGTGTCATACGGCAGGAGCAGCTGACCTCTCTGTGTCTGTCTCCTCAGCCCCGCAGGACGAGGCCCTGGGAAGTGGAGTCACCCCCTCCAACGGCCCCGTCCAAGGTCCCGCAGACCCTGGGGGCCGGCCCCCTCGATGACTCTCAGCCGCGTGGCTCCAGCCGGCCTCCTCACTGTCCCCCTGCGTCCCCGCTGCTGGCCGGCCCAGCTCTGCTGTCTGCTGGGCTCCCCTCTTCGTCCCCTCAGGCCTCACTTAAGGTCCCCTCGCCACAGTGTCCTGGCCGCCACGCTGTCCCCAGCCGGCTTTTTATGTGCTCATCACGCCGGGACGGGGGTCCAGGGAGCGCCGCTGGTCTGCTCCGATCACCCCCTCCCAAAGGAGGTGACTGGGAGTGTCTCGTTGGATGAAGGAACGAGAGTTACTTAAGCGCGACGCTCTGGTGCTTACTGGGGCGAGGAGGCAAGGGGAGGGGGACGGGGTGACACAGACTCCAGTGTGTGTGCGGAGCAGGGCAGGGGCTCGCACACTGGCCTGAGTCCAACCCGCCTGCCCAAAGGTGAGGAATGGGTCTTGTTTGCCCCCCACCCGCCGATGTCATTTCTAACCCTGTGGCTTCCCTGGGTCTGGGGGGCAGGGTCTGAGGTTCCCGACCCTCCATCGCCAGACTACGTGCAAACCGTTACGTCCCAGGATTACACACTGGTGGCTCCCGCAGTGTGGGCGGTCGGGGCTGGGGGTGGGCAAACTGGGTGAGGGGGTCAAAGGTTCAAGCCCATAGCTATGAAATGCGAAGCCCAGCACGGTGACCACGGCTGACACGACTGCAACGCGCAAGGGAGCTGTTAGGAGAACCGATCTTGCAAAGCTCTCCTCACTGGAAAAGCACCGTAACTGTGTGACGTGACGGATGCTAACTGCTTACTGCGGCGACCACTCCACAACAAACACGAACATGGGATCAGAGTGCTGCTCCCCTGAAACTAACATAACGTCACACGTCAGTGGCAGTTGGCCCTCGAACAACGTGGGGGTTAGGGCGCCCACACCCCGCCTCCGGTGTTTGAAAACCCGAGTGTAACTCGACAGTCGGCCCCTCTAATCTGAGGTTGTGTGCCTGCAAATCCAGCCGGCCGCGGACCGTGTAGTCTGCAGTGTGGAAGGGTCTGCAGGGAAGTGGGGCCGCGCAGTTCAAACCCGAGTCGTTCAGGGACCATGTACGCCTCAGGTTTAAAAAAGGGAAAAGGGAAAAGCATCTACGACGCGTCAGTTTACCCCACAGAACAGGGCTGCCGTGCCTGTGAGACGCCCGGGGAGGGCTTCCCGAAGAGCCGTGTGTGCGTGCGTCCGCCCTGGGCTCAGAGCCAGGAGTGAGGGCGGGCGCCAGCCAGCAGCCTGACCCCAGCCCGCCGGCCACGGACGTGCCCGGGCCGAGGAGGTGCTGCCCCTGGACCAGCTGCGCTTCGGACAAACGGAAGCCGCAGTCGTGGCGCTGTGTGCGCTCAGCTCAGCCTCCTGCTGCTGCTCGTCCAGCAGGACGACGTGGAGGTCCCCGCTGCTGGCCTGCCACCCGCGCTTTGTCCCTGCGGAGCTGGGCTAACAGAGCAGAGCTGGTGCCAGTGGCCTGGCGTCAGGAGGGACCCAGCTCGCTGCACGGCCCATCCCTCACGTGCACCTGGGTGGGGGCCGTATGTTCTCCCTGAAGGGCCGGGTGGGCATGGTGCTGGGATGCCAGGGCAAAGACACGGAGGGGCCCAGAGGAGGCGGCCCGGGTCCGGGGGGGTTGGAGGTGCCTGGGGCAGCCTCCGGCAGGGTGACGGGAGGGACCGTTCAAACAAAGCGGCCGGTGTCCCTGCGCACCCTCAGACTCTCCTCCCTGACGCCAGTCAGTCCTGACGGCTTGGCCTCGTGTCGGACGAAGCCCCGTGTCCCAGAATCTCTCTCCTTTCAGAAAGCTCAGCCGGGGGTGAGCTGCAGGGGTTAACGGCAGAGTCGCCGCCAGCAGAGGCTTTTGTCCTAAATGACTCTAACTGAAACACACACTCACTCACCAAGAAAGCAAGCGCTTTGAGGAGAAGCGCACACCAGCAGATCAAAGGAGTTAGCGTCTCCGACCTCCTAGAGAAACCAGGAGCACGGAGCCCCCTCCTCGCAGTGACGCCCGTGTGCGTCCCCGGACACAGAGGAGTCCTCCAGCGTCGCGGGTCTCAGCCCCCAAGCACAGCCGGCTCTGAGATGGCCCTCCCTCCCCCAAGTCGTGCGGGGTCAAGTCCTCGGTCAGTTCTCCACGTCTCCGGCCCCCTCTCGCCCAAGTGTTCCCCACCCCGCCACCCCTCCACCTGCGGCAGGTGCGCACAGGGGCTTTCCCTGCCAGGTTCTTTGTTCCCTAAACTCTCCGGCTTCACCTTGGCCCCCTCCCCTCTGCCGCGGGGTCCAGGTACCAACGCTGCTCAGGGACCTTTATCTGCATCCTGCTCCCTGCTCTGTCCGCCTCGGGCTCTCTGCCTTCTCCTGAGGGTGGAAAAGGCCCCGGCCTTGCGTGAACCGGAACATTCATCTTGTGAACTTTTGCTTCAAAGAGCTCAGGGCCGCCCTCTGTGCTCTGGGTACAGAGCAGAGCCCCGAGCCTGCTATAAATAAAAGATCTTCAAAGTGCCGGCGCCCACAGCTCTGGGGCGCTTTGCAAATGCTCCGTCCCACCGCCTCTCAGCTCCAGAGAGGTCATCACTAAATTTATATCTGTCCCAACGGTGCTGCCTGAGGAGCAGGAAGGAGCCCGCCCAGCCTGGGGGAGCTGATCTGTTACAGTGCTGGACCACCTCACAGCAGACGTCGTGCGGGGAGTCTGTGGCGGGGCCGAGGGCGGAAGTGGTGGGGGCCGAGGGTCAGGTGAGGTGGCCTGGGGAAGCAGGCAGTTCACTCGTGGGGGAGGCCAGCCTCTCTGGGGTGGGAGCCTGAGGACCAGGCCAGTCCGGTCCTGTCGGATTCAGCAGAGCCTGGAGGGACGCCGGGAGGCCGCACTGGCCGTTAGCTGGGCTGCGGACTCTAGAGTCAGGGTCCGGGGGCCTGCCAGCTTAGTCCCGGCTCCATTCTAGGCCCGGGCCCCACACTTCACGTTTCCTACTCTAGAGTCAAACCCCGCCCAGATAACAAATCCAAGGGCCGGTCTTCCCAGTCTGCTCGGAGGCCCCGGTCACGCGGGAGACAGAACCCGCACGGGGACACGAGCCGGTCGTGCTGGCAGGCGGCCTGGCCTTGGCCTGGGCACTTGGCAGGCCTGTCCCTGAGCTTTGGGGTGACATGGCTGCTCAGAGCCCCCTAGTCGGCTGGTGGTTGTGTCGGGGAGCACGAGGTAGTCCCCACCTGTCTTCCTAATCCCCGAGAACAGGCAGCCTCCTGGCCCACAGCCGGCCTGCCGGCTCTGGGGTCTGAGCCATGGGAACCTTGTTAATAACGTCCCCAAGTGAGCTCGGAGCCTCCCTGGGGCCCTGAGAGGGTGGGGGTGGCAGGTGGGGGTGGCTCTGAGGCTCCCCCAGACTCTAGCAGGGACATGGGACGTTCAGAGTCTGCAGGGCTTGCAAAAGGCCAGGGCCTCGGGGTATGGGGCCCGGGTGCTCACGCTCACCAGGGGTCGGTCTGTGCAGAGTGGGGGGCCCCCACCTCAGGGTCTGGGGAGGGAGCCGCGGCAGAGGAGTGCTGGAGAAAGAGAAGGACGGAAGGTTTAAGAGGGGACGCAGCAGGGCCGCGGGGACTCGGCGTGCTCGCAAACCAGCACTGTGAGAATGGGACTTCCGCTCCCCGCGGAGTGCGCGTCAGGGCGGCTGACCGAGGGCAAACCGGGCACCGAGACCAGACAACACGAGGGCCCATGAGCCTCAGAGCATGAGGAGGGGCCCGTCCACCACGGCTGCAAGGCCCGGGGCCACCTACCCACAGAGAACAAAGCCGTGGCCGCATGCGCCCCTGCGTTCTCGGGAGGCTCCCGGCCTTCCTGCCCTGCGACCCCCGCCCACAGCCCTGTGAGCGCTCAGCCAACAACCCGCACCGTCTGGTGCGGGGCTCCCAGTCTTTTTTTAAAAAATGAGACCCACAGGACGGGTGATCCTTATATACAGTGTGCTCCCCCTGTATGCTCAGATTTTGACAAAATGCCGGAAACTCTAAGTAGGCTCATTGTCCTCATACACCGCAGACTTCTGCCCGCCGGCTCCTGCCTATCACAGAGCACTGGGACCCAGCGTGAGGGCGTCATGACAACGACACTGCATTTCCTTGCATTTAGTTTTTTAAAAAGAAACCATTTGTCAATTCTGGTATTTTAGCTCCTGGCAATTACCCACCACGCAGTGTTCAGCGGGTCTGGGTGCGTGGAAGTGCCATGAGGCCACAGCTGAGACCGCTGATCTGGGCCGGTGTGCCCCGGCTCTTCCAGCCCAGGCCCGAGTGAGGGGAGGGCGGCCGGGCTGCAGGAGGCCCCGCGTCCAGTGTCCTCGGTCTCTGTCTGGCGTTGACGGAACCGCTCTTCAGGTGTCCCAGGCGTGCAGGAACTCATAAAACGAAAATTAGTTCTGAACCTCACTGGGTTCCTATTAGCTCTTTATCGCATGAGTTTTCTCAGGCAAGAGCCACCAGAAGTCCAGTCTTCACGTGGTGGGGCCTCCAGGACGGAGGAGAGAGAAGATGAACGAATCAAAGTTTCTACTTTAATGTGAACGTTCGTGGTTTTAGACAAGACAGTGGGCCAAGGGCAGAGCAGAGATTAGGCCTGAGTTTCTCCAAGGGAGGCCATTGGGCCACCAGCTCGGACGGAGCTCCCTGGCAGTGTCCGGGGAAATCTCGAGGGTGGGGGTCCCCAACACACGCTGCAAGGGGTTCAGCGGGGTTCGAGAATCACAGTCGCTGGTCCAGGAAACACGGCGAAACCAGCAGCAGCCGGACGTCGCACCGTTCTCTCCGAGCGGTTTTACGAGAGGGAGGGACAGACTCGTCTGACGGAAGGGCCAGGCGCAGACGGCCTGTCTCAGGGGACCACCGCGTCCGTTCCCAGCCTATTTTAGGCACTTTCTTGGTCACTGGAATGTACTGGAGACCAGGTTCGGAGGGGGCACGGATCCCCCCACAGCCAGGCTCTGTTCTTTTCCAAAAGTCCCCAGAGGGTTCGGACAGAGACTGGAAAACAGGAAGACGGCCTTTGCCAAAGTAACTTCCAATTAGATAATGAAATTATTCTGTTTACAGGCTTTGTAGAGCTCTGGAAAGACCACTAACCCTCCTCGCGGAGGGGCTGTGGGAAGCTCTCCGACAAAGACAGATTTAAAAATGGTTTCTTGGCAGTAGTTTCGGGTCAGAAATAGACAAATTGCTGATGAAAAACAGAATGAGTGTTAAATCTCTTCAAGATGCGATGACAGTGTCCAGGAGCAAGAATTCTTTTCTATAAGAATTTAAGAAACAAAAACAAAGCTCCAAACACAGGGGCTTTTGAGGACGACTTAAGAGGCACTAGAAACTCTAAATTAAAAGTAGCTTTTGCAGGACTCCAGGAGGAGAGAGTGGGGCTGCTGAATTCTCTGATGACGAGAATCAGTAAAAATCCCGCGTCCTGTCTGGAGGTCCAGATGCCCACCCTGCCGTCCCGATCACGGTGAGGGGCAGGGAACCTCGCAAGTGCAGCGTTACCCCCGAGCAGTCTTTCGACCCCAGGCGAGCGACTGAACTCGCTAAGCCACAGTTCGCTCCTCTGCAAGTGGGAGTGGTGGTGGCAGCACCCCGTCCTCACCTCTCCCGCAGGTCACCGCAGGGCCAACGGAGCGGGCGAGGCGGCGCTGGGGTCACGCCCTGGCACGGAGCTCACGCTCCTCCTTCTCCGACTTTCATTGTCGGCGGAGGGTTTTCCGTGGGTCATGATGCCCAGGACACCCAGGAAGAGCTCTTCTTTGGGGGAGGAGTTGTCACCCCAGAGTGTCAAACGGGGGGTTTAAACCCTGCGTGTCCTGTGAGTCTGCCTGCTGACATTAAGCCTTCCCCAGGGAGGCTCTCCGGTCCCCAGTTTCCCACTGCAGGTGCCCCCTGCCCATGTCGCCAGCTCATTTCATTCTCTCTTAGAGTTTCCTTTAATTGTCTCCCATGAAGGGACTCCATCTCCCCCGCCAGACCGTCCTCTTCTCCGGGGTTCAGGCTGCTCCATGCAGCCTGTTTTCCTGCCTCGAAGCCGGACACAGTGTGCACTCGGCAGACGAGCAAATACAGGCAGAGGGAGTGCGTGTCGACCGTGAGCGCCTCCCCGCCTCTTCCGTCTCCTGGTGATGACAGCAGTTACACTCAGTCACCGCAGACGCTCCGCGGCCCAGGGTCCCCTGTGCCTGGAGCTGAACTGGACTCTCCAAACGCCTTTTCTCGCCTGACCCTTGACCACACCCTGGGAACAGGCGTGTGCAGGGCAGGGGGTGCTGGGGGAGCTGGGAGGAGGACAGGAACAGCCGGGGTCCCCTGCACCCCAAAGCCCCCAGTCAAGCTGACAGCACCCTGAGCAGGACGGTGAACTCCAGGGCCGGGCACGGACGACACCAGCCCACCCCCTTCCCCGCTCAGGGACCACCGAGGGGTCCAGTCCCCACTCTCAGACTCGGGCGAGGAGGCTGGTCCTCCGGGGCAGTTTGAACCCCTCCCCCTGGTGTTTCTGCCTTGTCCCCCCAAAATGACCACACGCCACAGGGAGAGACACACATTGTCCTGCGACTCAGACGCACGTCTCAAAGGCTTCTACTGCCTACGTTCAGGTGGGGCGCTCTGGTGCTTTCTGGTCTATGTCACTCTTTCGTTAGAAATGAGAACGTGGAGAAACTGGAAGGCTCCGGCATCACCAGAGGGGATGCAAAACGGTCCGGTCTCTTTGGAAAGCGGTGACGCTTCCTCGGAATCCTAACTCTACAAATCTCGAAAGACCTAGAAGCCTGCTCCGAGGCAGGTATCAGAGAGACGTGGAAACACACATCCCCACAGACCCTGAGCGCAGATGCCTCCTGGCGGCGTCGCTCACGGGAGCCGAAGGCAGAAGTCCACCCAGCGCCCACCAGCGGACGGACGAGTAAACAAGACACTGTCCAGACCCGTATAACGCAACACGGCTCGGCCACAAAAAGGGATGTGGTGCTGATCCGCGCAGGACATGGGGGGAACGTGAAACCAGCACGCCAGGCGAGAGGAACAAGTCCCGAGACACGGCCGAGGGCGCGCCTCCGCTGATGGGACTGTCCAGGGCGGGCGGGTCTGAGGGGGCCGGTGGCCGCACGGGGAGGGGGGTCTCCTGTGGGGATGGAAATGTTCTAAAACTAGATTGCGGTGATGGCTGCAACCCGTGAATATGTGAAAAAAGTCACTGAATTGTGCTTTTTAAAACGGTGGGTTATAGAATGTGTGAACTGCATCTCAACAAAGCTGCTTAGGAATGATGAATGTGACACAGCACACCGACTTCACCGCCCAGAGCGGGGCGCAGCAGCCAGAGGTGCCGGTCCTGGAGGGTGTGTCTGCTCCCCACCCCTCCTGTCCTCGTCCTGAGGATCGCCGGGTGCCCAGGAGACTCGGGGAGACCATGGCCTCGGGGGGACGGGGGTGGGCGGAGGGCACCGTCGAGGAATCGTGCCTGCGTTTGTCATGGTTCTGTCTCTAGCAGCCGGGCGGCCGGAGAATGGAGTCACTGCTGAACTTCCAGGAGTGCCTGGAAGAGCTGACAGCCCCTTGCCCCGTCCCCTCCCTTCTCCGGCCCTGAACTCAAATGTGGGGGCTTGGCCTCCGGAAGCCACCTGTGACCTTGTGGGAGAGGGGCCTGGGAAGCAGAGGACAGAGGCGGCCACGCCTGGGCTTCCTTCACACCAGGAGCAAACCCCGAGGCCGCTCACGCGTGGGCCGCCTCAAGACACGCGGGAGCCCAGGACAGACCCCCACCCGCCCCGCCAAGTGGCCCACGTACCTCGTGATCTTAAATATGCGCAGGAGGCGGACGCATCTCAGCACGGAGATGCCCAGCGGGGACATGACCTTGGTCTCCACCAGGATGGTCTCCAGGATGCCGCCGCACACGATGAAGCAGTCGAAGCGGTTGAAGAGCGACACGAAGTAGGCCTGCAGCCCCAGGCTGTACATCTTGAGCAGCATCTCGGCCGTGAAGAGGGCCAGCAGGGCCTTGTTGGCCGTGTCTGTGGGGACCGCACACGAGGGCAGGGGGCGCCATGAGGGTTGGGCTCGCCGCCACACGCTTCCCTCCAGTGGAGCCGGCGGGAGAGGGTGCACAGCAGCGTCCCCCGGCCCCCACCTCGGCCCCTCCCCTGGCCCGCTCCTCACGGTGGCTCTGCCGGCCGGCTGGCTGGCGTGGCCCCCATTTTGCAGAGAAGAGAGGTTTGAGGGCTGAGCTGTCTGCCCAAACCGATCAGCCCAGAGTGGGAGGGAGCCAGGGCCCGAGTCTGCCCAGGTTCTGGGAGACACCTCCACATCCGGGCCATGGCCGCCTGACACCCAGGGTCCGAGCCAAGGCTCTGGCCAGTGGGATCCCTTCTGGGGGCCCAGGGAAGGGTGGTGGGACCGACCGCTGTCCAGGACTTCCTGGTGCCTTTTTTGTTTTTAAGATGGAATACAAAGTTTAGCCTTTTTACCGCATGAAACTAAAACTGGGAAAGGTAGGGGACTGAGGGGGCTTGGGAGATGCCCCTCCCCAGCTCCTGGGTAATGACACCTCGCTTCCTCCCGAGCACGTGTCGGCCCCGCCGCCCACTCCCTGCCCTCATGCTCGCCCCCTACCCCGGTCCAAGTTCGGCCAAGCACACCAGAGACTGTGCCCCGGCCGCAGGGACTGAACGTCCCACTGGGGCAGCTCGCAGCCATGGATCTCACAGGGCCAAACGCTGCAGCACATGTCCGTGTCCCGGGACCCAGCAGTGACCGTCGGGGCAGGCAGAAGGTGTGGGCCCGGCCAGGGGACCCCGTCTGTCTACAGCGAGCGTGTGTTTTAGCAGCTCAAGAGCTGCCAGGCCCTCGGTGTCTCCGGCCCCGTGACCAGGGCTGGGCCAGGCCGAGCAGAGCGGGCCGGCTGGGGCTGCCCCTCACCTTGGACCTCCGTGAGCCAGTGGGGCTGGTTGTAGTGCTCGGAGGCGATGGTGAGCGTGTTGAGGAACACCAGGAAGATGACCAGCCAGTAGAAGATGCTCGACTTCACGGCCGCACGGCATTTCCTCCTGCAGAACCGGTTCCATCGGCGCCAGTAGCGGCTGGAGAGGGGCAGGGAGGTGGTGTGAGATTCAGGCCCCCAGCCCGGAGCGCACCGCACTGGCCGCCTCTCTCCCCTGAGCCTGCATCACAGGCTCCCTGCGCAGCCTGTGGTGGGCAGACGAGCCTTCACCAGGGTCGCCCGCTCACCGCTCGGCTGTGTGGACGTGGGGTGTCCCTGCTCCGCCGGGACCTTGGCCCTCTCGTCTGGGACCAGCCCCCAGCCTCGTCGGGGTCTGGCCTAGAGCTGAAGGGAGGCATCTGCATTTCACAAGAACAGTCTCCCTCGAGGGAGCGCTGCGCTTGTCAGGAGCGTCACAGTGTGGCCGCGGCGTCAGCACGAGGGACCGTGGCCATGTGTGAAGGCACCTCTCAGGCCTTCTCCCTGACTCTCTAAAGAGCTCTGCAAAGCTGGGGTTGTCCTGACTTTCAGGCGGACACGGAGGGCCCTGGGGGTCGGGCACCTGGACAGGCCCCAGCCTGGGGCCGAGCCCAGGGGGGCTCCCAGCCCGGCCCGCACCCTCCTCCAGCTGCTCTGGGTTAGAGGCTTCCCTGGGTGATTGTCCAGCCTGGCCGTGCAGAGAATTTCCTGGGGTAACGTTAGAAAAATAACGAAACGCCCACCAGTACTCAGGCCCCGGCCTAAACCAGTTAAATCTGACTGTCTGGGGGTCGGGCCACGCCGAAAACCCGGGAAATGCCCTCGGTGCTCAGTCACGTCCCCCCGTGGCTTTCCAGTGTCCCTGAGGGCGCCCAGCGTTAAGCTGGATGGTCCCAAGGAGCACCTGTACTCTACAACTCTGCGACGGAGGGGTCTGTGGCTTGTCCTCTGACCAACACGGTGCAAGGGGGGAAGGACGGGGGAAGGAGAGGGTGCCGGGGAGACGCCAGGGCCCCGCCGGGCACTCAGGAGGGGACCTGGTTCTAGAAAGCCAAACCACCAACAGAAACAGCCGCTTTGTCAGCGTCCAGGCGGGGACCGTACGGGGAACATTTGGTCAGCCGTCGGGGTGAAGGTGACGAAGGCACGGCTTTAGTGACAGAGAGAGGACACATATTGACCCCGATTTCGGAGGCAGAATCAGCAGGCCTTGACCCCGACCGCGAGTGCAGAGTGAGGGAGGAAGGCGTGGCGGGGCCGCCAAGGGTCTCGGCTGGGAGGGGCCCCCTTGACAGACAGGGGCGCAGACCAGAAAGGGGGGCGGTGCTGGGGCCGAGAGGGCGCCCTGCGCAGGGTGGGGGGCTTGGCCTGGGAGATGCCCTGAGGTCCTCGTAGTTTGGGCCTGTAGGGACCCCCACTGGGCTGCCAGGGGCAGAACCACGGCGTGGGGACAGGAGGTGGGAGGGGAGACGCCGGCACAGTCCTGCGTGCCTGCCTCCACGCGCGCACGCCGCTCCAGCTTCCGGGGCTGCAGACCCTGGCCTTGTGCGTCCTCCACCCGCCCGACGGCCTTCAGGAGGGCTTGGCTTTATTCCCTCCCTACGGCCCGTGGGAAATCAAGCTGCCACAACCTTGCTGACGCCTGTCCTGAGATGAGGAGCTGAGGAGCACATCCAGGTCCTCCCCAGAGCTGTGGGAGGGAAGAAGGGACCGGCGGGTCGACCTGACCCCCCGCCACTGGTGCAGCGGGCAGGCACCCCCAGAGAGCCCCGAACCCTGCAGGGGACCCTTGCTGCCACCTGGGGGAAATCCACTGCACGGGGAAGAAACGCCTGGGGGTCAGAAAATTACGGTTTCCAAACGCACCGTGGGGGCCCCGTCCTCCAGACACACCGCCGGGTGCGAGAGTGAGGACGGGGGTGGGGGAGCGGGACCAGGGCCGGGGGCCGTCCGTGTGGGCAGCCTCCGGAGGGGCTGGGCCTCGGGTCTGGGAACCTGCTCTCGCCAGGGCGACGGTGGTTAGTGATGACGTAGGGACATTTGGGAAGACTTTTTTCCCGCAGAAAAATGAATTTTCAGGACAAACTTACATCGGGTCTTAAATAGCTTACATTGTAGTTGCAGAGAATGTGTTTTCACCAGAGACCATCCATCTCCTTTACAGAAATCGCTGGTAACCGTGACTCAGCCCAAAGGGGCCAAGCCTGCCTTCTTCCGTGGTTTGGAGGCACTGACTCCAGCTCCGTTTGGGGCCCAGAGCCTGGTCCTGCTCTGCTTCCCCCGGGGGCACTGGGTGTGGGGCTCGGGGCTCAGGCCTGGCCGGGGGTCTGCAGGGCTGGGCCCCCGCAGGGCGGCTGTGGAAACCAGCCGCCCGGGGAGCCGCGTGCCCTGGGGTGGGTGTGGAGTAATTACTGCCCGGAGAAAGTATTCAGAGGTAACTACACACCTCCTGCCCTCACAACGCAGCCCCGCTTGAGCCGACTCCCCAGCAATGCTTCCTACCGCACGACGACTGTGACGGCTTCTCAGAACGTGTACGTTTACTTGTGTGTTTACGGGTGCACGGAGGATACAGAAGTTCAATGATAAAGCAGGGAGGGAACTCTGCTTGATGTTCACGCTCCCTCCACACTCGCTGGGGACCCACTCACCCTGGAAACAGAGCTTCCCGGACGTGGCCCTGGGCGAGGAGGGAGGGCGGGACGTGTCCCCTGGGCTGCCTTGGGAGCGCCCTGCTCCCTCACCGCACGTGCACCTGGCCTCTTCCCCGCCCTGGGCCTGCTCCTGCCACCTGTCCACCGACACGACTGCCCCCGCCATCAGGACCTCCCCGCCCAGGTCCTTTAGGGCCTTGGGCTCAGCTGGAGGCCAGCTTCCCCGGCTGCACTGTTCCAGCCGCCCCGGTCTCGGCACACTCACTGCCTGCATCACTGCCTTAGCTACACGTTCAAGAAATATGTATTAAGGGTCTACCAGGGGCCAGGTACCACTGAGTCTGTCTGTGTGACACTCACAAGGGTGATACGGACACTGGAGGGCGTTCTGGGGGGTGCTTAGTGCCAGCAGGCTTAGTGGAGGTGCCTCGGGGCGCAGGGCAGGGCGCCCAGCCAGCACGGCTCCCCGAGGGAGGGACATCCCGCTCCCTGTGTCAGCATCCCTGTTCCAGGGCTCTTGCCTCTCCACTCAGCTCACAAGGTCCTGAGGGAGAGGGGCTGTGTCCCGCCCTTTGTGAGGGACCCGTCACCCGCAGCACTCAGGGGGGCACAGGGCGGGCGAGCTGGGAGGGCACCAGAGACAGGCCCTACACACACCCACTCACTCCCGGCTGCAGACGAGGCTCAGGAGCCCCAGCCGGCCAGCGGCCAGGGATGGGGTCGGGAGAGGTGAGGGCGGTGCCTGAGAGAGCCTGCCTGGCCCCGGACCCCTGGCGCGCCGCTGGAACAGCGGACAGCACGGCAGGGCGGCCGCCGGGCTCCTCCGGCCGCTAGAGCAGCTGCCCGTCTCCCCTTTCACAAGGCTGAGAGTAAGCAACCGGAAAGCATTGCACTGACTTGCTTTATGCAAAAGTAGCTTAACAAATGGGGTGCTAGAGGCTGGGGCAACCTGGGTGTGTGCCCTACTGCGGGCAGGCCTCCCAGCTGCAGACCCCCGTGGGCTCACGCCAACTCCGTGGAGTCCAGGTCCGAAGCCCGACGCCTGTCTGACCAGTCCCTTCGAGCCGCGGAAGACGGCAGGACCGCTTGCTCGTGGCTGTTCAGAGCCTCTTCTGAGCCCCCGATGCCGCGAAATTCCTTGATGTCTCTAATTCCTCGAGACGGAGGCTTGGCTGACCAGGGGGACAGCCGCACGCTACGCCCGCTGGTGGCCCAAGTTTCCCTGACACCTCTCTTCTAATACTTCTTCAAAAGCCCTGTGACTTTGCAGCGCCCCGTCTGGCCAGCGGAACGGGCCAGTTTGAAGCTCAGATTCTAGCATCTCAACTACTGTTTCAGCCTGTGTTTTCTCCAACTCCCACGTTAGATTATCTGTGGGAGTAAAACAGGTTCTTCACTGTCTGCGAGGTTACTGTTTCTTCTTTTTGGCAGGGGAGGTGATTAGGTTTAGGTATCTATTCATTCTCAGAGGCGGCGCTGGGGACTGAACCCAGGACCTCGTGCGCGCCAAGCGTGCGCTCTGCCCCTGAGCTACGCCCTCCCCCCTTACGAGGGGCTCCTGAGCTGCAAAATTCTCCCTCCCTTTCCCCGGTGTGAGTGGGCTCTCTCCTGTTCCATCATCAGACAGGCAGAGGGGTGAGAGTGCCCAGGGTCGACCTTGATCGTCTTGATGGCATTCCCAATCCATCCCGTCTTTGATTCTCCCTAAACAGACACCGTCAGTGACCCCCGGGGTGTGGACAAGGTGGCTGCCATCTGACCCTCTACCGGCACACTGTCCAGCGCGGGAGCCACCGGCCACACGGGGCTACGGAGCACCAGGGATGCGGCCGGTCCAAGCTGAGACGTGCAGTCAGTGCAAAAAGCACGCTGCCTTGCAAAGACTCGGTCAAAACATGAGCGTAGACCACCCCGTTCATTTTCTAAATATTAACCATATACGTTAGAACGTTCAGACCCGTTGGGTTAAACAAGCTGTATTAAGATTAATTTCACCTGTTCCTTTGTACGTTTTGAACGTGGCTGCTAGAAAGTTTTAAGAAGAGTGCATGTGGCCAGTTTTGTTTCTACTCCACACCCCAGACACACGGCTCCGCGGCCGTGCGTGGGCCACGTGGCCCCGGACCGCTCGCAGCCCAGCATCCTCCTCTGGACACGGGTTTACTGACAGTGCCCGCCGAGCAGCACTAGCCTTTGGGGACGAGCACAGGGCCTGCCCTCCGCACTTCTGTGTCCGAGAAGGAGCCGCAGCGGAGGGCGCCCTTCCCAGAGGCCGATCTGGTACCCGCGGGCGGGGCGCAGCAGAGTCCCGGGCCTGGGGGACCCCCGCCCCCTCCTCTTCACGAGCACAGTTTACAGCCTAGACACCCCGGTCTCCCGGGCCATCCCGCACTGCAGACGCCGCACGAGCCCGGGGCGGCTCCCCTGCCCTCCGAGCGCCGGCTCACTCGCTCACGCGCCCGCACGTTCCTTCACGCCGCACTCACGGTCGCGGGACGAGGAGGATGCTTTGGGGGCGTTCTCAAGGTAGTTCTACCCCCCTTGACTCTCTCACTGGGTGGGGGTGGGGGCTCTGGAACTGTCCGCGGCGCGACGTGCTTTCTCGGCTTTGGCTGTAAGGCGGAAACTTCGTCTGAGGCCGTGTTTGGCCTGCTGTCTCCCCGGGGCAGGACAATCGTCCAGTCCTCCGTTCACTGAGTATTTATTAGGCCCCTACTGGGTACACGCCACTTCTCCAGACGCCGGAGAGAGGGCAGCGAGAGGGACGGCTGTTTCTCGGGCCCTCCCCCCGTAACGACAGCTGGGCCGGGGAGACTCCCCCCAGGCTTTCTCGGCTGGAGAGGAAGGGAGAGGAAGAGGAAGGGGAACCCGCATCTTCCAGTCCCAGCGGAACACGGGGGCAGAGGTGACAGCAGGAGATGAGAAAGACAGACAACAGTGTCCTCATTTACTCCCAGGCCGGGCACCAAGCTTCGGAAATGCCTGGACAGCGGGGGCGGGGGTGCTGCCTCTCCTGGGAGTAGCACGGGGTCTACGACCCTGGGGGACCCCAGCCTTCGGCCGAGAGCTTACTCAGGCTGGTGCGGAAGTGATGGGTGGCAGGGGGCAGGCGGGATCCTGGGTCCCTGGGCCCATCCGTGGAGGACTGGGTGTCCGTGCCCTCAGAGAGCCGGGGGCCAGGGACCAGAGGCGAGCATTTCAAGATCAGAGGCAAACAGAGGGGCCCAGGACTGTGCTGGCAGGGCCCTGACCGGATGGCCCCTCTCAGGCCCCCGATCAGAGGTGTGAGCAGAGGACGCGGGGACCCCAGGGCCGGTCCTCACTGAGCTCTGTGTACTTTCAGGGTCTTGAAGTCCCAGCCCTGCACCCCCGCCCTGGAGAGGATCAGCTGGACTGAAATCAGTGTTATTTATGCTCCTGCTGTGCAGGAGGTGAGGCCGGGGAAGCAAGATCAGCCATGAAGCAGAAACAGCCACCACTCCTGGGCACACGCGGGCTCTGTGGGCGTCCGTTCACAGCCCACTCCGCACTCATCCGTCCCACGCACGCGGGCGGCCAGCCTGCCCCTGGCCGGGCACTGAGCTGGGCTCCCTGCAAGCTGTCCCTCAAGGCACACAGGGGATTACGGAAGCAGCGCAGAGTCAGCCAGGCGGGACGGA